TTTTTTAGAATTTTTGAACACCTGACAAAGGGCGGTTGCTCAAAACGGACGAGGTGGAAAAGTAAAAGCATCAAAATTTGAAACATCGGTAAGAAAAAGGTTTCATGACATCTTAAAGAATTAATTAATGGTCCAGAAGAGTGGACGAGATGTTCCTGCAAAAGTCAAAAACTTTAAACCCCTCAGATTTCAACTGAATCTGTCTCAGAATCGGCCATGGTAATTTCCCAACCCGCACTTAAATAGATTGGAAATCAGTCACCGACAAGATCTCCAAGGAGTCTGTCTTAGTTATGAGCTGATCTCACAATAAGAAACAAATCGGAAAGTCCCGCGGATTACGGCCTGTCTATCCTCGTGTCCCATCCATCAGTGGCAATCGATATTTTCAATCAATTACTAAGGTTTTAGGTGCGAGAATCTGGATAATCGATCCTTTACCATAGGATTAAATGGCTGATCAATCGATTCACAGCAGCGCTCAAGCCACGACTATCAATCCGAATCCCCGTTTCCTCGAGCGGACTGCGCTCTCCGCTAGAAACGCCTTCGAGTGTGACGTATGCAATTTGCAGTGATAATACGTTTCCGTTCAGCGCGAATACGTGATAGCGCACCAGAGCCAAGAATTCAAGGCAAACAGAGGTCTCAGCGAACATCCTTGCCAGATCCCTCCGTCTGATAAGCAATTGAATACAAACTAAAGTTGTACGTATGACACAGTGCAGTGAGTTTGATGTATAAGGCATGGGGTGCTACAATATCGTGACCCTCCGGCCAAAATATGTATATTGTTTTACTCACAATTGTAACTTTATAGACGGTAGAATAGAATATACTTTCTTATTCTGTTATATTATAAATAAAACACACGTTTTTTAACCTTAGTCTTGATTTAATTTTACAAGGCATGTGTTTTTTAAAATTTTGATCAAATTAGATTTCAAACACAGATATTAGATTTCAGATTCAGATTCCCACATAATTTTCGGTCATTGCCACCATATTTTTTGGTCCGTTCAACGACAGTACATTCGACTTTATAGGTGGAGACTTGGCAGAGCCGTTTAGGAACCGCAAAGGTTTCCTTGACAAAAATGTGCAAACAGTTGGTCGTCCAGACAATGAAGAGGTGGACATCATCACTCAGCGTTGAGACTTCGATTTGATTGATGCCCTGACATTCCGCTGGAATTTTAGGGTTGAACAGAACACCCTATCTTTTCCAGATTACCTTCTAGAAAAACTTGCGATTCTGGTAAAACTTAATAGTTTTAAACTTTTACAAAATGATCAATGAATTGAACGAACCAAAGCGATTACTTCTTGCGGATGTAGTTATCAAAAACTGGAAAAATCTTACAAATACGACGGGGAGCGCCTGAGCTGGCACTCAAGCCCCGACGGGGGCTAATTGTCGCGGTCTACCCGGCTCACAGTTGCCAGATTGTGCTGAAAATCAAGAACAAATCCTCGTCAAACTCAATTACACAAGACCTGGCAACCTCGACCCGGCTGTCGGCACTCGGCGTCTCATTGTCATCGCCCAAGACAAACATGCACATCTCGGCGTCGTATTAGCCGCAACCCGCTTAACACTCACGCCTGGTGTGTTGCCTCACACCTCGCCCCTTCAGCGACCCATCGAAACAACGGCGCCCCCACCCCCTCAACCCGAGGAAAGCGTCGTCACTCCCGCGGGAGCCCTACGTAGAAACGCGATTGTCCAAGTAAAAGGAGCCCTTCGGTGCGTGAAACCGATGACCGTTCCCGCAGAAGAGTCACCGTAACGCACCGTATTCAAGTCGACGCTGTGTCCTGGAGAAACGAGCACACTGTTACCTCTCCCTAATTTTTAAAATTAAATGTTTTCCCTAAGTTGATTTTAATAACCTTTAAGAAGGAAGGCTCTAAACTTTACTTACCAACCGGAATCAGGACAAGCGGTCTGCACCCAACCTCACAGACATTGTTTCTTCAAAAAGCACAGTGCTCAACATAATTATATCCATTGCGTGAACCGGAACACTGGATTTGGACTATGGTCGTAACTCTGGAACATTGGCGGATAAAAAACAAGGTCGTGACTCTGGAACATTGGCTGATCAAACAATTTGGCGAAATTAGCGGATCTAGCAAATTGACAACATTGTTTTGCTCCATTTAAACCATGAAAATGGTATTGATTCTTGGAGGGGCCAAGAACCGATTATATAACTCAAGTTCATATGGAGGGAATCCGCTGTTATTAAATTGCTTGATCCGTCTCTGCTCTCGAAACGAGCCTCCAGATTCCTTACAAGTTTTCAAAGTTGCTTGAAATGAACTACATCGGAAATGACCCAACAGTTTGCAGACTCACTTCGTAACAAAAACGGGAGCCGTTCGAGACTGACCCCTGCGCGGTTAGGTGAGGTATAATTTTGTTAAAGGCTCTTGCGGATATAATAAACGGAATTGGCCTCATCATCGTTCAGGGCGGCTGGTTAAAGTGTTGCTCACAAACCAGAGGCAGATCTTGAAGATCCAGCCAATCGCGTTATTTCTTTGGTAGAAGCAGCGATCACCCGGAAGTTGATACGTGACATGTACTTGTCATGCGTGCCCACGGGGACCGCACGGTTGATGTTTAGTACTAGAAGCACATTCAATCCTGCCTAAGTTGCAGACGACTCCAACAACGCGAAGATTTTCTCCGTTTTCAAAGAATGGACTCTAGCTGATGCCATGATCTGCGCAATCGTTCAACGTGGGAACAATGGTCTAGAAGGTGGATCAGACGCAGAGATCAAGTGGTCAACGGACAACTTATTCGGCATCCCAGCTCTCAGATCAGTGTTTAATCAGCATGTGTTACTCTGCTTATTATTGTATTCTTTTTATTTCAGCACAAAAATTGTTTTAACATAATTCACGCCGGAGATGAGGGGATTCCGGCTACCGAGGCAGAAGCTATTGCGTTTTCTGCAATGAAAGCTGCCCGTAAAACCTCGAATACAACGGCGGCTAATTTCATTGCGAGGACAAGCAGCAAAGTAGCAATAGACTTTAAAGGGGAAAAGGATTTAGCAGAGGTGAAAAGTCCTCGATGATATACTGAATGCTTTGTGCTTCTTTCAAATATTAAAGTGAATATGTTTTATTATTATTCTTATTTTTTATTTTTATTATTTTGGAAAAAATTCCTGGTTATGGTAACTTAAAAGGAACACCTCCCTTCAAAAATTCACCGTTTGTCTGAGAAACAATTATTGTGCAGTGTTTCTGAACATAAACGCTAAGATTTTAATGAGAAATTTATAATAGGAATACACATCATCGATGATTCTTAAAACTGACGATTTGACCGATTCATAAAACACCCTAGGTTTTGAAAATCTGAAATATTGTAGACTTTTCTACCTAAGTAACTCGGCAAAACAAACAATCTTGAGACAACGGAGCTCCGATCAAGAATTCACGAGGGAAAATCAAATCCCGGGCTCTTCAACTTTTCATAATGGCTTTTCCGCTCGAGCTTTGGCTGGTGTTACTTTTCGCGACCAAGCCACGCTAACGCGCCCGCAAAAGTGCCGTAACAACTTGACCTTAAATCTTTAACAATCCGACACAAAGGAAAGCCGAAGCGAAGAGAGCCGGATTAAAAATTCATTCGACCGACTCGCGGAAGAATAATTCATAAAAATCTTCTTCCCCCTCGAGATCAATTTCGAGGAGCGCCGTTTTGGGACCGGCACTTGAGCCCCCTCCTCCATTAATTTCAATTTCAAGCATTTTTCAATACCCGCAGCTATTAGACGCCGCTCTCCGATCCGGATCCGAAACGTTTCGTTTTTGCGGCGGCCCCGACCCTCCCCCCCCTTTCCACCGGGGAAATTTATTTTCTTTCGCCCCGTCCCCTCGCTCGCCTAATGAACAATTAAAATTCAAAACCTGCGTGGATAATGAATGGACGCTTTTATGAAACATCAAACGGGATACCTGGAAGTTTGTTCGGAAACTAATGTTTTTCCGCGTCGCGTCTCAGCTGAATTTACCTTTTCCCAGAATCGCAACTCTCCCTCGGTACAACTTGCATGCAGTTGGAAACCAACGCTGTCGCGATAGGGGATAAATTCTCTTGCCTCCATTGGAAAATCGGGGTTTAAAGGCGACGAGATGGCAATCCCGATAGGAGCGATATTCGTTTCGCAGTCTCGTAAATTTACTAATTAAACCGATCTCATTGTTCGTTTCCGCGAAATGCCACGCAACTCGCGCTTCTGTATTGCCCTGCTATGGAAAAACGCCGTACGAGCCTTTAGACGTTGCCAGATTTACTTCACCAAAAACCGAGTTTTATTGTAAAATTGCAAATATTTTTTTTCAAATTTTTCGGATAATTTTGTTCGCAATTTAATCTAAAATATCGGAAAATGTCGAAGAGAAATATGAATAACTTTCCCCAAAATACATGTTTTATCTAAAGAAATCTGGCAACTCTCGAACATTCATACGGCGTTCTTCCTTAGCACGGCAGTGTAGCAGTTGACAGATAGCGAGATACTTACCGTGCGCGCGTAGACACGGAATGAAAGAACCTAAACCTTTTAAAAGTTAGGAGTGAATTTAAGGGCTTAGAATCCGGAGTGGAGTAACTCTGCCGCATGCCGCATCGAAGGGGAAACGACACTTCGCTTTTCATAGCACTTTTCGCGGCAGACTTTACGGGACTTGACAACGATTCGCGAAACCATTGTTATTGGTAGAAGAGGATAAGTTTTCTCAGTTGCTGTCAGATTTTCTGATTGAGTCATTAGAAATTCTGGTGGGATTGACCGCGACGAGAAAAAAACGAGTTTGCGTCTGAGACACAAGACGCGTAAGTCAATTAATGTTACCGAACTTTATTTTTATTATTCGTATTTAACATTCATGGAAGACTTCATGCTGTTATAGTATTTACTGATGCATGAGTGGCAGTATGGTGTCAACTTCAAATTCCGGTTTCTCTGTTTCAGGTCTCTTGCGGTTGCAACAAATTTATCAAGGGCTGCAGCCAGGTTCAGAGCTTTTTCGTGTAGATGTAGTTAGAAGAATATCAAACGTTTCCCAAGCATTAGACTTCATCCATGCCTTAGAAGTCATTGACAGGTGAGTAACCCAAAACTCATGTGTGTTATCAATATCTAAAGAGACAACAGTCTAAAATGCATTTCGTTCCTTTTTTACACAATAGTCACGGTAAATTACCCAAGAACGATTTGTTTTCAGGGTTTTAACATCGAATTAAGTGTAACTCTGAGTTGACAAAAAAAATAGAAACACAAAGATAGAACAGAAAAAAAAGACAAGCAGAGTGCACTACCACAATTAATTGGGGCGCTACTACAATAATTAATTGGAATACTACCAAAATTGATTAGATATGTCCCTAACATTCATCAAACCATACCTTCTTTCCCCCCGTGAACAGTATCACATTGTTCTAATCATTACCGTTTTGCATTAAAAATTTTCGAATGCGCAAGAAAATTAATAGACGTCACTTAATTTCATCGATCAACTGCATGTTTCAGGTGGAGTCACAAATACATCGTCCTTGACTGCTCAACGACGATGGCGAAAGAAATAGTCGTAGCGCACGTTAGAAATATAACACTAGGCAAAAGAATTTACCACTATCTCCTGTCCGGTCTGGTTAGTATAGTAAACGTTTCTTCCATCATATATAACTTTGATTATGCCTTGCTAAGGCATTGTTTTATTTTATTATCTGAATAAAAAAAATGAGTTTCGTTCACGGCGCTAAGAAACAGAGGTAAAAAGATGCAAGAGGGCATCTAAACAATGGAGCTCTTGCATGTGTCAGAAATTTGCGATTTAATTACTCATTAATCTGTAAATTTTCGCTAAAAACTTGATAAGCCGCTGGTTTTCTCTGAAATGAACTCCAAAACAAAAAAAAAAAAAAAAAAAAAAAAAAAAAAAAAAAAATCTAAGTTGAGACCTTAAAGGAGGTGATATCCCGCGCTGAACTGAGAGTCCACTTCTATATCAAATCGAACTCTCTATGCAACTGTAACATCAGCAGGATGCCATGCTTTTAGTTTTAGAGTCCCCAACCAGAGTGGCTCTCAGATGGGGAGGGGGGACAGCACTAAATCGTTTATCAACAAGTTCGACTCCAGGTGTGACTTGGGGAGGAAGTTGCTGTCAGTCAATTCAATGCGATAGTAATATGTCCCAGAGTTACCGAAGTCATCAAAAACTCTTTGTACTTCTGCAGTGATAAGACCAATGGGTCAGTTGCGCTGGGCACAAAATCGTGTTCTGATGCCAAATTCTTGTAGATCACTTTGAAATAATACGCTTTGTCCAATACGCAACTTTCGACGCACAATATCGACCGAGAAATCGCGTTTTGAAAAGTAGGGTTTTTGACGTCATCCACCGCGGGAGTGACACGCTGTCACATTAGATCATACGGTTGCAGTATGCGTGGATTGCATTTGACAATTCAGGATGTATAGGCTCTCGTTCCTCGTTCCTATCATGAAACACACAGTAAAAGATTGTCATGATATTACAGTGGAAATCTTGAACAAACCATCATTATTTGAAATGTTCAATGAAAAACAGACGGGGATATTATATGAAAAGTTTCTCTGAAACTAAGTCGTGAAACCAGATTTGGCTCTCAATTCAGCTGCATGGAGTGCGTGCTAGCTAATCAGGGCGCCTTAAGAGCTCTCTGCATTGATCCTCGCACGTCTGTGAAAACTAGGAAGGAGGTAAAAAGTTTATTAACGAAAATAAAAAAAAAGCTACTCTCTCTGATGAGTTTTGGAGAAAAGTAGAAGCAGCTATCGAGGTTCTCAAGCCACTTGTGGGGTGGATATTTTACATTCAGAGCGACACTACCTTCATTTCAGAAGTTCCAATGTGCTTCAAGGACATTGAGCTATATGAGTCACAAATGCCTTGCAAAATTCCAGTTATTTTACAGATTCTGATGAGAATACAAGCATTAATATGATTAATGACCGAAAAGAATTTTGCCTGAAGCCAATCCATCTCGCAGCTGCATTATAAGATCCCTCTATCCATGAAAATGAATATCTCTGTGACGCTGACAAGTCAACAGCTATTAAATTCATTGAACAGCTAGCAGAGATTTTACCAGAAGTGAATCCAGTAAAAGTGTCCGAAGATGTTTTAAAGACATTGACCTAAGAGTGACTAGTGCTTTACAGAATTCAACATATTAATTCCTGAAGTTCCGATGAGTTTTAAAGACCGATATCTTTAAGCCACCTAAGGGTGACTACTGCCATGCAGAATTCAACAAATTTTACAAATTCTGATGAAAACACTATCATTGATATAATTAATCAACGAAAAGAATTTTGCTCGCAACGTATTTATCTCGCAGCCGGTGTCACTGACACCCTCGGTTTCTTCCGCCTTGCTTTTATCAGTCAGTGTGACGCGTCATCGGTCAGTTTATTACATTTACGGATTTTTCTCTATTTATTCCAATTTTCTCTATTCAAAGTAGTTTCTGTTATTTCTATCTATCCATGTAAAAGCAGTGTATGCGTATTTATAATTAGTATATGTCTAAGATAAATCTAAGACTTAAAAGACCATATAGGTTGAGAGTTATATTTGATACATCCTTATTTTGATTACGCACACAAAAAAAAAAAAAAAGTCAGCGTGATGTTGCACTGTTTACTAAACGAGAAACTCTAACACTTTGTATTGGAAACCTAGGTTATGGACGACCAATGGGAGAATGAAGTGAAAGAGTATGGCGCAATCAACATTACGGGGTTCCGAATCGTGGATCCGAGCCGAAAATATGTCCAAGACTTCCTTCGGGGGTGGCACCAACTCGAACCCACAAAATCGCCAGGCGCCAACCACGAATCAATCTCGGTAAGCACTTTTAGTCAACTTATTCATACTTTCAGTATGACAGTCAATCATTGTCATAATTTCGAATAGTTTCTCTTTCTTCTCCTACATTCGATGTTAAGTCTCGCAATGACAGCAGCGAGACTCGGCGTTTCTGTTTATTTTTCTATCTTTCTCTACGAAAGAGGGAAAGTCAACGAGTTTTTACACTCGTCATTTTCCAGAAAGAAATTAGAGGTAGGAGGAATTCTCATCCTAGTCAAAAAAATCTAAAGGCAATTGTTAAACAACTAATTTAATATATAATTGGAGGAAAAAACCCTTGAGTACTCATCTTGGATCCTGCCAACACTAAAAATTACAATAACTACACTGGAAAAAAAGCAAATTGGATCTAGAGTCCAGACTATTAAAAACATCGACAAGAAAAAATACTCTTGATTCAATCAGATTTAAGCTTAAATCAACGACCAAGCCTCTTAATTTGAGCGGATTTCCTTTTGATTTAAGCTTAAATCTGATTGAATCAAGAGTCCTTTTCCTTGTCAATGTTTTCAAGAGTCTAGACTCAAGATCCAATGTGTTTTATTTTTTCAGTGTACCATGTATAGATCGCCGAGTGGCAATGTTAATATATTTCTGTACAGGGCGCACGGGCACGGGTTCACCAAAATTAATGTTGACCAAGAATCGTCCCCGTAGTCCTGACGAGTTTTAGACGTCAGGCTTATCTGCGACGTTACGGGGCGGCGACCCGTTGCCGTTGGGCGCGTGCAGTTAATGAACAGCGCCGTTCGGATCCGGAGCACATTTGAATGACACATCTGACGCGCATTTATCACGGCGAAATTGCCGCGCTCCTCCTAATCCCTTTCAGGAGTCGGCCCGTCCCGTAACGGCGCTCATCTGTTACCTGCCGGCCCGGTAAAAAGTTGATTCCCGTTAATTAAATATGATTTATCAGCGGCGTTGTCAAGCATGCTGACGAAACGGCGCGGTTTCTAGACTGCGGGCGCGCTCTGTTGTTATGAAATTAAAAAGTCTCTTGAAATTAAAAATCTCCCACAAAAAATTTTATGACAGATTCAGTCTAAATTAAACAATCACTTATAAACCTACGTACTTTTGTGACCACTTTTTAGGACCTTCCTAAAGTCTTTAGTAACAGTTATAACAACCAGCATAAGTCATGTTGACTGCGAGAAAAAATGCTTCAAATATTTATTAGTTATATTAATTTTTAAAAAATAATGAAAAAAAATGATTTGTTAAGGTCTTCTTAATTCTATTTATGTAAAGAAAGTGATGAATTTGTCTGGTCCCCAGAGATGTATAAGTTTGTAAATATAGCAAAGAGGGTCTCAAGGTTCAATTGTTTTTCGTTATTTTGTCAGCATTTGTCATGAGTCGAAAGACATTTAAGGCCAAAGACATCTTGAAAGTTCATTTTTCAGATCGAAGTGAAAATAAGAGAGCTACGGACCCACCGCACTCCGAGCATTTTGAGAACAAACATTTTTATCACTCCATGGAGGTTTTGGTTTGACGAACTCAGACCGGCGCTTATTTCGTAGCTCGTACTCGCTAACAACTTGCCTCCGTCTCCTGTTTTCTTTGTCAAACTCTTCCTGCAATTTTAGGGCGAGCTCGTAATCTTCGTTGACTTGCTTGATTCGTTCTTTGCTATATGGTGACAATGACATTTTGTCTGCTCGATAGCTTTCTTGCAGTTGAGACTGCTTTGGTTTCCGGACTGAACAGGGCTCCAGTAATTGAGTCGACTTTTCACAGTGGCTCCTTATGATATCTTCTACTAGTTCTTTCAATTCAGAAACATCCGAAATTTCTATCGGTTCTGAAGGGACAAAACTTTCATCTTCAAAATCTGTCTCCGAGTCTGAGTTCCCTTAGTTGGCAGTCGATGTGAAGGCAAAAGCTCGCTTGTGCGGAGAGAACGACGGGCTTTTGTTCGGGGCAGTGGACCCTGCAGGCTGGTAAAAACTTTTGCAAATCGATGACTTTACAGTCTGCGATATAATTATGCGTTTAGAGGGAGACTCTTTGGTCCGAGTGACAGGAGATGGCCTGAAAGGACGAAACTGGTTTGGGCCTTCTTTCGAGCTCCCACTGACAGGCAATTCACGTTCTGATGAAAAATTTAATTTCAAATAGTCTGTCATTGGTCAATTTAGAGCTGGCAATTTTTTATAGCAAGCCAACAAAGAGCCTTCTGGGGAAGAGTCACTGATACAGCTTATGGTTGAGAGACACCCACTTTCATTTTGACTTGTGTTCACAGAAGCATTCTTGTTAGGACGTATAAAACTGTCAAGGGGTCCAATGACAGCATTTTCTTGGGGTGAGGAAATCGTGGAATTGTACGCGCCTCTGCAGCGTGTGTCCAAGCAAGTTCTGCTGCCGCGCCGCGCCGTCTGGCGCACGGCTAAAATCGCGCCGCGACGCCGACCGCGGCCAGCCTCGGCGACGCTCCACGAGAGGGCGCTCGCGTCACTAAGATAGCTTATGTTTGTTAAGGTCTTTTTAGTTCTATTTATGTAAAGAAAGTGATGATTTTGTCTGGTCCCCAGAGATGTATAAATATGTAAATATAGCAAAGAAGGTCTCAAGGTTCAATTGTTCTTAGTTATTTTGTCAGCATTACTTTCTGTTCCTTAAACTCCTATGCCGGGCGCGTGAGATCAATTCACCTAGGTCCTAAAGTACGCACCAATACAACCGCCATTTCCTTTTTTCATTTATTTATTTTTTAGAAAAATGGCTGGCCTACCAGCATGAGACAAACCCTAGAATTAATTGCCGTCCCGATTTCACATATCACACATGTTTGTCTGTAAAATCGGGACGGTCAAGTTCTCTGGTTTATTGTCGTCCGAATGGCACCCTCCCAAGGGTTTTTTTGTGGGATATCACTTCATTTTTCATCAGATATTTTACTTAAATCTACCAGAAAAGTATAACCAATTTTTTCAGAAAATAATAACGCCATCCACGATCTCATAGTGTAGATTTATTTTTACCATCACAAAGCGATCCTTGAACTCCTAAGTGGCTTCAGTTGGACACGTCAATTATTGCTGCTTTCGTGCGACGCAGGATTGCGTGCAGTCAAATTGAAGGCGTTTTCTCTCTCTTTTTTTCTGTTTGTTTTGGTGTTTATTACGTGTAAATCTGACGCCTTCAATATTACGTGATACATCTAATCATACTGTTGTTAACTCTGTTTTGTTGCTTGTCTATCGGTTTTAAGATTTTCTTCTTTAATGCCGTCCGCGCCTCTATCGAGCGCTATAATATTTCTAACTGGTCCCACTTTAAAATCACAAGTGACAGACATTCTTATTGAGGAATACTAATTTAGTGAAATTAAAATCTCCCACAAAAAATTTTATGACAGATTCAGTCTAAATTAAACAATCACTTATAAACCTACGTACTTTTGTGACCACTTTTTAGGACCTTCCTAAAGTCTTTTGTAACAGTTATAACAACCAGCATAAGTCATGTTGACTACGAGAAAAAATGCTTCAAATATTTATTAGTTGTATTAATTTTTAAAAAATAATGAAAAAAGGTGATTTGTTAAGGTCTTCTTAGTTCTATTTATGTAAAGAAAGTGATGATTTTGTCTGGTCCCCAGAGATGTATGAGTTTGTAAATATAGCAAAGAAGGTCTCAAGGTTCAATTGTTCTTAGTTATTTTGTCAGCATTACTTTCTGTTCCTTAAACTCCTATGCCGGGCGCGTGAGATCAATTCACCTACGTCCTAAAGCACGCACCAATACAACTGCAATACAACGCCACTTACGGAAAGAGCTTCCAGTTCATCGATTCCCCGGTCCGCCCGGCGTCACAGATCCATCAGATAAAGGTATGATATCCCCGGAACGCCCGGGCGCATTGTTACGTTTCCCCGGTTCGCCCGGCGTGTAGTGTAAGCCCCGGATAGCCCGGAGATTTAGTTAGTGGATACTATAATGAGACCCCTTTCCGGCACAGGTCATGCAGTACGAAATTCACCAGCCGGCGTAGCTTATAACACCCGCAGTCAGGTAATTTGAAACTACAAACGAATAATTGTGATTATTAGATGAATTTTTGGATTTAACCATATCCAATTGATTTTTAATCAAAATGTGACGGTCTGCTGCAGTCATTCGTATCCTCGCGGGGATGCGCTTGGCTGTTGCGTAACACTCCCCTCCCCTGGACCTTGGTTCACGACCAGTGACCGCGGCTGCCCGCCATCTTGAGCTTTAGTCTTCGCTTGTCTCCCCGCGTCACTGGCCGTCGATCAAGGTTCCCTCCGTTTCCCTTCGGTTCTCTTACTTCTCGCTAGTCTTTTGCCTCATGTCGAGTTTTCTTTATTTTCGTGTATTTCGGACTGTGCCTTTTCACTGTTGTGTTGATCAATAAATCGTTGTTTCTATCCCGTACTCGCTCGTTTCGTCTCTTTTTGTTGCGTGTCCTCACCGACTGACCCTCTGAGGTGAGGCTTGCCCAGCGCACCTTATATCAGCCCAGTCAACCGTCTTCCCGTTTCAAAAATATTTCTAAATTATAATTTTAGGGACCCCGGTTCGCCCGGAGAGTAGAATAGGGACCCCGGCTAGCCCGGTGAATATCAGCATAGGGACCCCGGCTCGAGCCCGGTGCAGCTAAGAACCCCAGCTCAAGGGAGCTGAAGCCAGGCCCGCGCGCTCTCGGTAGTTTTCTATCCATTTGAAGTGAAGTAGGGACGAAGGCCCGAACAGAATTACTTCTGGTAAAACCCTTTCCGTGGCTGAAAACCATTCTTTTCTTTGACGTTCTGGAAAGAGTGTTCGTTTTTGGGGTTGAGGTCACTGCGATATCAGAGAAACTAATAGATGAAGACGATGTGATGAGAGTGGGTTCTCGTCCTAAAACATCTGCTGCCTGCTCTGTAGTCAGTAACTGTCTCGCGATTTCCGCATCTTTTGCAGACATTAGTTCTCTTTCTCGCTGTAGCGCCGCTGATCTTCTTCGTGAAGTTGCCAAACGATTTCTTCACTAGCCATTTCTTCTTTTTCCCTCTCTTTCCATAGCTGCTCCTCGTACTCTTTCAATTGCCTTTGAAACTCTTCTCCCACTTCACCAGGCTTACTAATTTGGACGCTAGGACAATTAGTTTGGACGATAGGACAATTCTCGACAGGCCTTAAGCAAATAAAAACAGAATCCTGCCTACGCAGGATAAAGTTCAAGCATAACTTGAAAACAATCTACTCTAGTCAATCCCTCCCCTAGCTAGTAACCAATATGTTGACTAGACGCCGCAAGCTAACGTGGCCAAAATCCCCGCGAGCACTCACGGCTAACGATGCAGACTCATGACTACCCCGGATCAGGCTATACCGACAGAGGGAGCCCAAGAGCCCCTCCAAAAGGAACTAAGGACGGGAGCACCCTGAGGGCCAGCCCGTCCAACCCTCCAAAATTTTCCTCCGGAAGAAGTTCCCATTTAGACAAACATCACCCACCTAGGAGTAATTTAAATAAGACCCCCCCCCCCAATCCCCTCCCAGACACGCTTCACGTAAGCACCCACTGAATTAAGTGGAAGCGTGTTCATCTCTCAAGTGTATTGATTTATGTATATGTGTATGTTTGAAATGGATAATAAAAGGAAAATTATAAAAGAGGGGCGGTGGGAAAGGCGAGAGAGCCTTTCCCACTGGGGTTCAGAAGTCGTTCTTCTATCCCATCATCCTCATCCCTCAGTCTTTTCGCAACTTCATGCGGATACTGATGTTGAATGGTTGCCCAAAATGCTTCATGCGTTTAACCGTTAGTATACTCATACGTTTAAGAATAGTTTTTCTCGTTGCGAAATCATTGGATGATAGCGTTTCCATTCCGAAATCCTCGATTCTATATTGAAGCCTCCAAACCGTTGTCTTGAAACACCAAATTCTCAGGTTCTGCTTTCAGCCTCCAATCCCTACTCTTCACGGTCATAGCAGGGGTTCTCGCCAAGAATAAGCTGTGAAAGCTTAGGAGAGTTGAGTTTGTCAAGGATCCAAAAAATGTTTAGAGTCCTCGCGTGCGCTCCCGGCGTTTTACACTCAGCTTCTCGCGGGAGCGTGGGTGCCAGTGGACCTATTTCGCGTGAGACTATAGCCGACAAGTGACCAATGAGCACGCGAACTGATCATGTGTCACTCGGCACCTATCAGGTGGTTTTCTTCGCAGAGAGGATTAAGTATTAAGTAACACCAAAACACGTGTGTCTACCACATTTCCTTTACATTCAGGTTAGAGGAGTCCGAGTCACCATGGTATAGCACTATCAGAAAGGGAATTCCTGGGTTTTGGTGTCTCAGGATCTCCTTCAACATTCCATCAATTTAAAAAAAAATGCATGGGATTCGTTGAAACATGTACTGAATTTTTTCAATGGAGATGTAGCATGTGTCAGGGATTTGCGATTTGACTGATGATTCTGCTGTAAAAATTTTCGAGAAACACGATGGTGCCACTAGTTTTCTCGGAAATCAACTCCCCAGCTCAAAAAAAGCTCTCAAGTTGAGGCCAAAATGGAGGGGATATCCCACGCTATCCTGAGAGTTCATTCCACATCAAGACAAACTCTCCGTGAAAAGATAGGGAGCAAATACATTTACAGGGCTGCCACTTTATTAGGGGACTCCAAAACTGAAAACACGGCAACCCTGCTAATTTTTTCCTCCCTGTCTTTGCATGGAGAGTTTGTCTTGATGGAGAGAAGGGCTCTCAGGATAGCGCGGGATAGCCCTTCGATTTTGGCCTCAACTTGAGAGCTTTTTTTTGAGCTTGGGAGTTGATTTAAGAGAAAACTAGTGGGACTATCGTGTTTTTTGCGAACTTTTACATAAGATTCAATCACTGTGCGACGTATGACTGGTCGCCACGAGGTCCGATAGGTAGAACCACTAGAGGAGGGATCTTAGAACCACTAGAGGAGGGATCTCTTGGCCTTAACCTGACCTTCGGGACGTGGAAGTCTCTTAATCGGTTACGAACAGCTGTAACACGGTGTAAATCAAACTTGCTGAGGTGGGGTTTCGCTGAGAACGAACTATGCGAGTGTGGGGCAAAGCAAGACTACAACCACCTTCTAATCTGCCCTAACATGACTAAAACCTGCACAAGGGACGATATCTTTAGTGTAAATGACGAAGCAATCTATGTTGCAAATTATTGGTCAGGGAAAATCTAATTTAATCTTATTGGTGCTATCGGACACGGAAGAAGAAGACGAGGTCCGATTCCAGGTTCCGAGGTCGATTAAAAGAAGGAGGAGGCGTGATGAGGTTTTTCGTTTGTACAGGCGCAAGCGGCACTGATGCATGACGCGGTGTTCGTGCTGGTGGAGGTGTTCAACAAGATCCTGCGCAAGAAGCCGGACACGTTCCGGAACAACCTCCGCCGCGGGCAGATGATCAACAACGGAACCCGCGGCATCGACTGCAACACCAGCAAGGGCTGGGTCACCCCGTGGGAGCACGGCGAGAAGATCTCCTCTCAGCTCCGCAAGGTCAGTATCAAGAAAAATATTCACGAACTCATTGCGGTGGACGCACGGGTCGCGGGGGCGGGGTGTAATTTAAATTTTTTTTTTTTAATGCCTCTAACCCGCTTCCCTTGCCTTCCCACCTTCGTATATGAATTTGTGCCTACCTAACGCAGATTTAAAACGTTACAGCTAACCAAGAAAAAGAGTCGGGACCAGCACAAAGTAAAGAACCACCAGAAGATTTGGGATCAATCAATCCACAGGCAATGGGCCTGTTGCAAACTTTTGCTAGAGCAAAAATAAGAGCTGTTTCTTGTAGATAATGCCTCAAAAATCACGATGAGCTCATCGGCAAAATCTGAAATGCACTCATAACTTCACAATCTGCGTAAGAAATTTGCGTTTTTTTAAGCTTCCCGCTTCAAAAACGATACTACGGCACAGGTGAACATTTTGTTAGAGGAGTCGCTCCATCGTCGGCGATATTCATCATGGCCGACGCTTGCGCGCAGTTCCGCGCGTANGAAGAAGAAGACGAGGTCCGATTCCAGGTTCCGAGGTCGATTAAAAGAAGGAGAAGGCGTAATGAGGTTTTTCGTTTGTACAGGCGCAAGCGGCACTGATGCATGACGCGGTGTTCGTGCTGGTGGAGGTGTTCAACAAGATCCTGCGCAAGAAGCCGGACACGTTCCGCAACAACCTCCGCCGCGGGCAGATGATCAACAACGGGACCCGCGGCATCGACTGCAACACCAGCAAGGGCTGGGTCACCCCGTGGGAGCACGGCGAGAAGATCTCCTCTCAGCTCCGCAAGGTCAGTATCAAGAAAAATATTCACAAACTCATTGCGGTGGACGCACGGGTCGCGGGGGCGGGGTGTAATTTAATTTTTTTATTTTATTTTAATGCCTCTAACCCTCTTCCCTTGCCTTCCCACCTTCGTATATGAATTTGTGCCTACCTAACGCAGATTTAAAACGTTACAGCTAACCACACACCGTGGGAGCACGGCGAGAAGATCTCCTCTCAGCTCCGCAAGGTCAGTATCGAGAAAAATATTCACAAACTCATTGCGGTGGACGCACGGGTCGCGGGGGCGGGGTGTAATTTAATTTTTTTATTTTATTTTAATGCCTCTAACCCTCTTCCCTTGCCTTCCCACCTTCGTATATGAATTTGTGCCTACCTAACGCAGATTTAAAACGTTACAGCTAACCAAGAAAAAGAGTCGGGACCAGCACAAAGTAAAGAACCACCAGAAGATTTGGGATCAATCAATCCACAGGCAATTTGCTCATACGGCCGTCGTAGACCCATGCCGGCTCGTACTCAACGAATCGCCCAAGAAAAAAAAGTATTGGAGTCCCGCGTCGTAAGACAATATTTTTGAGTTTTTGGCCATTAAAGTTAGCCTATAAAGAGTTCAAGCCAGTGCATTAAAAATTCAGCATACAGTTGAAAATCTCAATGCAGAAGGAAAAACCTCGCGTGAGCACAATTTTCTCTCAAAGAGATANTGCAACAGGCCCATTTGCTCATACAGCCGTCGTAGACCCATGCCGGCTCGTACTCAACGAATCGCCCAAGAAAAAAAAGTATTGGAGTCCCGCGTCGTAAGACAATATTTTTGAGTTTTTGGCCATTAAAGTTAGCCTATAAAGAGTTCAAGCCAGCGTATTAAAAATTCAGCATACAGTTGAAAATCTCAATACAGAAGGAAAAAGCTCGCGTGAGCACAATTTTCTCTCAAAGAGATATGCTGTTTGGTGCAACACTATACGTTCATTCAGGAGTATCCTACAGGAATTTTCCTGAATGGACGTAAGTAGTATTACACCAAACACCATACCTCTTTGAGAGAAAACTGTGCTCATACGAGCGTCATCCTTCTGTATTGGGATTTCCAGCTTTATGCTGGATTCATAACCACGTTGGCAAAAAACTCCAACATAACGAAAATATTCACTAGAGTTGAACAACATTACTCACTCATTTAGAACAACTAGAGATGGAAAAAAAACCATCTGGTAAACCTCTCAACACCCAAAAGGAAAGTGAGGTGGACCCCTGTTGATTCCTTGGTCGCTATTATCTACCTGACATGTGCGGGAGTTTCAGAAATTTTAGTGTTTTTTAAAAAAAGCTTTTAATGTTTTAATTACGAATTTCGTTTGACAAAACCGTGATTTGCAATTCCTATTGACTTGAAGACGAACGCTCATAAGCGTGGAACGTGATCGGAACCTCGGAACTAATTTAACGATTGCCTGTGCTAGCGGGGACAAGGCTTATCACCGTGTGTAGCTTTGACAAAGATATGGGCTCTAATCGCTCCCAGTTAAAACATGTTCCAACTTTATTGCAACAAGTTCCAACAATGATAGCCTCTTTCGGGGGAAAGAGTAGATAACACTGGAAAAAAAATTGGATCTAGAGTCCAGACTCTTAAAAACATCGACAAGAAAAAATACTCTTGATTCAATCAGAATCTAGCATAAATCAAGAACCAGGCCTCTTAATTTAAGCGGATTTCCTTTTGATTCAAGCAAAAATCTGATTGAATCAAAAGTATTTTTTCTTTTCAATGTTTTCAAGAGTCTGGACTCTAGATCGAATGTGTTTTTTTTCCAGTGAATCCTCACGCCATCTAGTAGTTGCAAGAATCAAACGTTTTGTAGCAAGTTGTTGCAACTTCTGCTACTTGGGAACATTTAATCCCAGCATCATTTTCCGAAAGTTGAATCGTGATGGAATGCAACATTCTCCACGATCCGACCAAACTATACACATTGCCACCATTGACGATGAAACTATACGCTTTGAAATGCTAACAGTATAAACAAAAGGTGGGCACTCATACGGGGACTCGATAATCTTGATTGTACACATTTCATTTACATTTCTGACCCTCTTCTCAATCGAAGAATGCTCGAGACGAAAATTCCAGAGAAAACGCAGCAGTAGCGAACAGACTCCGCAACCGCGTCAAAGAGCGAAGGAAGCAAGGGTGAAGCATTACGGAAGGCGCGGAGCAGAGGGCGCCCATCAAAGCCGACCAAGATTCGGATGAGCGATGCAGCGCGGCCTGCGTTACGTCTGGTTAGGCCTGATTAAGCCGCGGGAAGACTCCCACGCTCAGGAAGAAACACCGTAAGACCATTCGACAGTTGCCAAATCTCCTTGAAATAAACGTGCATTTTCGAGGAAAGTAATGCATACTTTTCCTCGAATTTTCCAGAGAGTTTAAATTAAATTGCGAACAAAATATTCTGGAAAATTTGAAGAAAAATTCTCACAATTTTTCCGGTTAATTCGTTTGTTTCGGAAGGAGATACGGCAACGTTAGAAGGGTCATACGTCGTTTCTCCTTCCCGCGGCGGAAGAACAATCCGTCGGCGCCCCGGCCCGGCCCGGATGCGGGGGAATCTAATCACATGAAAAATATGCAAACACGCTTTCCGGCTTTCAAGACGGGAGCCCGGGACGCGCGGGTAAAACCGCGTATCCTCGCGAGGTTTCCGCTCGAGTTTCGCGGTTCTATCTTCCCGCGGCGCGGCTTTTCTTGCTCCAATTTATCACTGCTCTGCGCTCCGGGTAAACACGATTATTTTCGCGGCATGCTGGGGAGCTGGGACGGGCGCGGCGTGCGTGTTTCGAGGTTATCCTCCTCGATACCGCGAGGATTTCTATCAAAGGAAACAGTTCCAAGTTACTTTGTTTGAGCCCCTTCGACCCACTTACCGTGGCCAACCGTTTCGCGCATTCCTTTACGAAGATGGACGCGATAAACCCATTATCGAATCCAGTATCCATTACTGCGCCTTGAGCGCAAACCCAAAACACTCCGCGCCCACTGTCGCGGGTTGCCTACCCATCAGGCGTCCATTGCTCGGTCCGGCTGATTGCCTACCCGCCGGGTGACCGTTGCTCGGTCCAGCTGATCGCCTATTCTCAGGCGGATTTCCATCAAAGGAAACAGTTCCAAGTTACTTTGTTTGAGTCTTTTCGACCCACTTACCGTGGCCAACTGTTTCGCGCATGCCTTTACGAAGATGGAGGCAATAAATCCATTATCCATTACCGCGCCTTGAGCGCAAACCCAGAAGACTCCGCGCCCACGGTCGCGGATTGCCTACCCGCCAGGCGATCAAAGCAAAGGCCGTGAAGGAAATTAAAATCCAACAAGCTCATATCGAGAATACGCTGGAGAGGCAGCGACAGTTTGAAAGAGATGATGTCGCAAAGCCAACAAAAAGAAGGAGAACAACAAAAGAAAATGGCCCAGCGGATATACAATCCAAAGCTGGTAAAGCCGAAATTAGTAAAGCGCTCGTCCCAAACTTAATGAACTTAAGACAGGACTTTGGACAGAATCTCTGAAGCTTCTGACATCAATTTTGTGGGGAAGTTAACTTCAATTCCCCATACTCCACTTTACTGGTGGACCAAAGTTATCGGCAAGGTTAGGAAAAACTGTCACAAACTTAGACATAAGATCATGCAACTTGGAAGGAAAAAATTACCCTTATTAGATAAACTGAAGGAACTAGATGTGTTAAAAAAAGAACTCACTAGTAAGATTAAAGAATCTAAGAAGAAAAAATATATCGAGCTTCTTAATGGTCTTGATACCGATATCTGGGAAAAGGGAAACTTAATGGACAAAAGCGAAGCAGATCTTGAGACGGACTGGTAGCAGGCTCCAACAGGTGACCAGGAGGGGCACCATTTCATGCCGGAACAGAATCGAGACTACCCAAAAGAGGTGGAAGATTTTCCACAGTCTCCAGTGCTTGAGGAGCCGGAGACGGTAACCATAGAAAATTCCCCCGTGCAAGAAAAGTTAACGAAGGCACAGCGAAAAAGGCGCGAAGAAAAACTCAGAAAGGCTGCCCGAGCTAAAGCGAAGGCCGCAAGCTTTGAGAATGTCGAAGTGCAGAAAGAAAAACGGACAACAGTCCTTGGGAGGACGCCCACGAGGGGCGAGAGAGCAGAGGAAGGAGAAATTTACTTCGACGCTGATAGGTTCTATGTACTGCAGACATCAGCGAACAAAACCCGGCTCAGAGAAGCAAGTATCCCTTCAAGACAAGCTTATTCCCAGATCCGACCAACCAACCCCCAACC